TTAGTTATCCAGATCATTTCTTTCTATTTTTTAGTAGAGACGGGGTCTCGCTCTTGCTCAGGCTGGTCTCGAACTCCTGACCTTGAGCGATACACCGGCCTCGGCCTCCCAGAGTGCTAGGATTACAGGCGTGAGCCACCATGCCCGGCCCTCTTCAATCTTTTTAAACAAAAATTTCAATAGGAATACCAGTTTAACATCTTCTTAATTAATTCTCATCGCCATTTATAAACTATAGTCTATCAGAAATTTAGGCAGAACTACCATTTAGATGTACCATTTTGCACATGTATTTAAAATTGCTCTCAGTTCTACAAGTATTCATCACGAAGCATTATTATACTCTTCTGGGGTGATAATATTCATAACCTCCTACACCTTCCTGAACTAGGCTTTCAGGAGTTTACACCAAGTCTCCACTCTTGATACATAGCTCTGCTACAACTGATCAGGAAATCTAACAACGTGGAAAGCCACCTTTTCAGTCTTTCGTATAACTTTATTTCTTTACAGAAGTGGTTCTCAACCTGGGCTACACATTGTAATCACCGGGAGAACTTTAAAAAAAATCTTAAAACCCAGGCTGCATCCCAGACGGATTGATTCAAATCTCTGGGAGTGGGCCAACGCATCAATATTTTTTATAGCTCCCTTGTTGATTTCAATGTGCATTCGCAGTTTGGAATTGCTGTTCATAGGGCTTGCCAGTTTACTGAGAGTTGAATTAAGAGAACATCTGAGCTTATCATTTCCCTTCTGAGAATTTTTTGAAAAGCAAGAAAGATTGTTGAACAAAAAAGCTACAATATTTTGCTAGTGTGAATAGCTTACATTGAAATCATACAGACCTGTGTTTTAGTCCCATTTCTGCTACCTATAGGAGTATAAATATAGGAAACTCCCTTAACCTCCAGTTTTACTCATTTCTAACTGGAAATAACACCCACCTTCTGGAGTTTTTGTTAGTGTTAAATGAGATAATTAATATGTGTAAGGTATTCAACATGATATAATAAGCTAAAAAAAAATCATAAGAGAGCAGGAAATATTACTAGTGCAGAAATGACTATCTGTTCTTGGTTGATCAGAGAGGACCTAAGAGTCTGTACTAGCCATTTGTTGTTTTATAGTGACATGAAAAATAACATTCTAATAGGATTTTTAGACATAGTCAGAAACGTGCTCATTTAAAGATTGTGTCAGTACTGCTCAGATTTGGAAAACCTCAAGATGATACTAAGGAGCTGGACTTTAGGAATGATGGATGTCTTCAGCCACAGGGGTACTAGTTGAAGCAGGAGGTACCTGAGGAGGAGCTAAGCAGCCAGCCACAATACAGTTCTTCCTGCCTCCAAAAGAGGAGTTATGCACTTTCCCACACTCACTGTGATACATTCCATTTGCTGAGAAAAGTGGCTTGTGTCATTCTTGAACACTGCTTTCAAGACCTGATATATTAGATTCATTTTTTCTGTATAAATAGCATTCATACATTACTATTTAGTAGAGTTAATAATATTTCCTTACCCTTACCCTTACTCTTACTCCAGATTACCCATCAGCTGCGTCCTCTGCTTCAGGCTCACTCACAAGCATGCAATCAAAGTGTCAGCCAGGGCTGTGGTCTCATCTGAAGGCTGGACTGGGGAAAGATCGGCTTTTATGCTCACTTACACAGTTGTTGGCAGGATTCACTTCCTCAAATGAACTGAGGACCTCCACTTTCTTTGGTTGTTGTCCAGAGGTCACTCTCAGTTCTTTGGCATGTGGTTCTCACCCACACAGCAGTTTACTTCATTGAAACCACAACAGGATGAGTCTGCTAGTGAGACAGAAGTCTCAATCTCTTGTAACCTAATCATGAAAGTGACATCGCTCAATGCTGCCATATTCTGTTAGTTAGAAGCAAGTTACTGAAGGGAAGGAAATACATAAGGCTATGAATAACAGAAGGCAGGAATCATTGGGCAACTGTAGGAGCTGCACTTAACAGCACATACCCAGCCATAAAAGAAAGGGGGAAGGAAAGAGAAAGAAAGGAGGAAGGTGGAAGGGAAGAACAGAAGGGACAAAAAGATAGACATAAAAAAGACAAAGAGAAAATAGCTTTAGTGTCGTACATCTATATCCGGGTTCCATGTGTAGGCACACACTTCATGACATTAGCACCACAACCATAAATTTCCTATTTCTTATTTGGAATAAAAGGATCATAAGGACTTTCTATACATCTGGAGTTAAAAGGAAAACAGAACAAACATAATAATAGTAAGTTAAAGTAAGCAAAATATGTTTCAAATTAGTTCCTTTTTCTTTTTAAGTTTTTTTTTTCCCAGCTGACAAAGTCTTTGTGTTTTTTTTTTAAATTTCTGTTTCAAATTTTGAGTTGGATTTATTATTCTTACCCTTATGTGACAGGCATATTACACAGGGAATATAGAAAGCTGGATGGCCTTTGCATTTGGTATTCCCTGGTTGTTTCAGCTCAAATGCCAAAAATTATGTTTTTGTTCTGTACATTATTGTTAATGGTTGTATATGTCTCTTAATTGTAAAAGTGAAGTTGTATAGTACCTTGTATCTCATCTATTCCAGGCTCTCTATTGAAGAAAATGAAGCCCAAATGGCTTGGGAAGGTCAAGGTTAAATAGTGTCAGAGCCAAGACTAGAATACCAAATCTCTTAATTTCTAATCTAGTGCATTTCTTTTTAGCTTCTGTGCAAATGGTCAGAATGTGAAATATTCTTCTCAAACCTGCAGGCATAGTTGTGGTTTAAACATGTTTTAATAATCACTGATTTTCTAAAAAGACCTAAAATAGCATTTTCAATGCTTCAGCTAATAGAAAAGTAACTTTATCCATGTCCTTTACTATATGATAGGTGTTCACCTAACACAACACTCACCTTTCTCAGTGTAGTCACTTGTAACAAATCACACAGGCTCCTACACTTCTTTGGGAGTGCTTTGGGAAGGGTTAGTAAATGCTGACCACATCAAGAGGGCCGCCCCTCTGTCCTTGGTACCAAGGCACATCCTATCCGTGCCCAAAACTCATGTAAATTTCTCAGTTCATACAGGAAAAGGAGTATTTCTTACAACAGTATGACCATGGAATTTTATTACAAAAAAAAGTTCTGCTGTCACCAATATGTGCTCCCAGAGATAAAGACATATCTACAACTCAGGATTTTCTGAAGCTTCACTTGCTTATAGCCAGACTATTCAGTGCAAGAGGTATTCTTAAACAAGGACACATTGCCCAAGCCTGAGCTTCTTCACTACATTAATATGGGTATTAGTGAAGGGGGGCGGGGGTGAGCTCTCTATTTCCTAGCCTTATCATCTCTTCTTATCCTGCTTATTTTTCTACATAGGATCCCCACCTTCCCCAACCCCCACTAGCATGGAAACTCAACAAAGACAGACTTTTATCAGTTTGTTCACTGCTGTATCCCTACAATAGGGCCTGGCACAAATTTGATGTTTAATAGTATTTGTTGAATGAATGTCTGAATGATGGATTTGTTTAGTTTTATAGTATCAGATCCTTTATGAGTTTGTTCCTAGAGGAAAAAAGAGGCGTGTTTTGGTTCAGAATACAGGGTATCTACCTGGAATTTAAAACTGGGAATTTTTATGTCTTTTTTGCATATTATTTATTTTTTAATTATCTTTTAAAATATTCAGAAAGATATTTTAAGATTGAGAGCCTCCCTAATGCCCAAGAATGAGAATTTTAGATTAGAGAACAAATATATTAAGTTCACAATCGAATTGATGACTAATCATATAAGAAGCAAAAACAGAAGAAGAAGAAGTAAAGAAACCTGACCATCTCCAAAATGGCCACGGACATCAGAGAACTGATTTACAAAAATGGATTTTGCTTCAGACTTGTCTGTTGAACGTGTGTAGCTGCAGATTTCATAGATGTAGAGGAATTTTGGCTAATATCCTTGGTACCAAGGCATATCCTCATAGAAGGCATTCTCTACTTCTTAAATTAAATTAACACATATATATGCATAAGTTGTTTAGAGTTAGCATCTTTTTAAGGAGTTTACTGGCTGATCTTGTGAAAGAATGCAAACATAAGTGACTTTTTTTCAAAAATCTGTGAAAAGTAAAATGGCCCTGTAGTGGATGCTATGGGCCCCACGCCAGATCCCCTCTGTCCACCTGATGTCAGCACAGCCATATATGGGTGCCAAGTTGCCACCTTGCACATTGCTGTACACACTCAAGTGCCTTCCTAGGCAAGGACCCTCAGCCCGTGTGCAGGTGGAGCCTAGAGTGCATGGAAGTTAACGTCTCAAAGGAACCCCCCCAACAAGTGGGTGCTGAGAGTCAGTGAATGAATGTCCCAGCCTCCTCACATCCTGTAGGACAATGATGAGGCACACTCTACACAGCTTCTCAGAGGGGCCTCAGTGGGGTTGGGCCCCAGTTAGCCACTATGATAACCAATTCAATCACACACACATTACTAGCTGTTCTCTTTTCCCTTCCCACTCTCCCTATTATTCCCTCACGTCTAGTTCCTGGGGTCACCTTCCAGATGAACTACCTGTACCCAAAACCTCATCTCTAGCTCTGATTTCTTAAAAAGGCCCTAAGAAATTATGCTTGAAATAAAGGCAGAATGGTTTGTCTCTAGAATCAAGGGCTGACACTAGCAAGCAACAGGTTCTGAAACTGTGATCTATGAGAAAAGCTTTTGTGGAAGACATTGGCATCACCTCCTAGATACAGAATATGCCAGCTTCATCCTAGTAGTTTCTTCTTTGCACACTTGAAATATGTGTTTTGTTAGGACCACATATGACCCTCCTGATTTCATGCCTTGCCTTTTTTTATTCTAGATTCTTCTGGAATGCCTAAATTCACCAAGTGCCGTTCACCTGAACTAGAGACTTTCTCATGCCACTGGACAGATGGAGTTCATCATGGTTTAAAGCACTCAGGATCTGTACAGCTGTTCTATATTAGAAGGTGCAGCCTTCATGCCTTTCTGATTTTTCTTTCCATGGATGTGCTGACTAAAATATACTGAGTCACGTGCAGTGTAGGAATTGAAGTGATTTATTTTAATAACCTAAAAGTATCATTCATTCATTTATTGAAAAAAAATTAATTAAGCCCTTACTATGTGCTGGGTACTATTTTAGACACTGGAGATATAGCAGGGATTACAGAAAGATAAAAACCCTGGTCTCATGGGTATTTCTTTCCAATGGGGGAAGATAAGCAATAAAAAAATAAATATCGTGTCAACTGGTAATATAGGTTAATAGGGAAAATAAAGCTAGAAAGAGGATAAAGAGTATCAGCACTGTGTGTGAGTGTGTGCATGATAGTGTGTGAGAGTGAATGTATCAAAGTGGGGGAGAGTGTGTGTGGATACGCATGGGTGTGTGCATGTGGGTGAGAGAGTGTGTAAGGGGCTTGAGTTGTATTTGAAATGGGAGTTCATAGGAGCCCTCTTTAATGTGGTATGTTAGAGCAGAGACATAAATGAAGTGGGAGAGGCCATGTGAATGTCTGGGGGAAAGCTTGTCCAGGCAGAGGAGATTGCAAGTGCAAAGGCCCTGGGGCCGCCCTGGCATGTTTGAGGACAGCGAAGGACATCACAGATGGCACAAGATTGAAAATGGGGAGAGTGATATGGGAAGGAGACAGAGAGTTACTTAGGGACAGACTGTGTCAAACAGGGCTTTGAATTTTACTATATTTGTGGTAAAAAGCCTCAGATGTTTTTTGAAAAGCTGTTTTGTCTAAAAGATACATCTTGGTTTCTATGTGTAGCATAGACTACGTTCTTCCTTAATTAGATATATTCAACAAAGACTATAGCACTTTTCTCTCCCATTTTTACCTATGATCCTGTAAAGTAACAGGGGAAGAGTGAAACAAAGATTTCTCAACATAGTTACCACCCAAATAGTTTCTTTCTTTCCCCTCACCTGGCGTTATTTCCTTTTCTGTTTACTCTTACATTATACCTTTTTACATTTTTCAATTTTAGGCTTAAACACTTTATTATTTCTTCTTTTCCACCCAATCCCCAGGGAAGGCCTAAGCCAAGATGCAAGGTTAGTGAGGCCTCTTCCTTTAGGCCCTTATTGTTCATTATTCCGAGGATGATGCCGTCTACCCCTCAGAGGAGCTGGGAAAGGGAAGAAAGATGCAGTGAGCAGTTAAGGACATGAGCTGAGGGGGGCAACAAACCTGCGCTTCAGCCTGGCTCCGGCACTGTCTTACCAAGCAATGCACAGCATTGTCTTTGCACAACTCGGCCTCCACATTTGCAGAATAGAGATAGTAGACTTGCCTCATGGATTCTTGTGAGGATTTTATTAGACGATACATGAAACACCCTTGGCACAGTGTGTCACACATAATAAGTACTCAGTAAATGGTAGCT